TTATAATATTATTTTACACTCTGTAGGTCTAAATATAAATCAGAGGACAAATCAACTGCAATATTTAATAGTTTGTGTTAAATTGTAGCATGATTCAGCAGTGCTAAACTCTGTATATATGCTCCACAAGCTAATATCTGCTAATCAGTTCAATAAATAACAGTGATTACATGGACTTTATAAGATTGTTTTAATTTTAAACTGTTACATTATGTTCTGCTCAGATCATATTGAGCTAAATAAGATCAAATCTGCTGACTTGTGTTGTGAAATGAGACGTTTTCCTGTTTATCTTCTTTTAATAAATCCATAACACAAACAGCTTTTCTGACATTTAAAACGTTAGATAGATTATATAAACTGCAAAATATTAATAATAATTGGATTAATATTATTATTAATAGTTTTTATGATTTCTACATCGTCAGTCCTTTTTTTCTGCCCTGTTTCCAACATGTACAGTGATGGGAAATCCAGACTCTTGACCGTTTTGCGTTAGCCGCTAGCTTCACCAGCCYYTCACARGGTCARGTGGTTTTTGTGCACTCCAGCTGTTCTAAATAAACTCCTTGGTATATATGCATGCATATGTTTATGTTTGGTTGATGGGTGTTTGTTTTCTTCATTTTCTGATGGCCAGATATTCACCTTAAGTGTTGTTTTTTTTCTGTCATTGTATTCACTGCAGTCAGGCATATTCCAGTGTTGCAGCAATATTATCATTTAGCCTGCAAGAATCTATATAAGGGATGGGGTTAAGCTCCTATGAAACTACATGCAGTCCAATTCAGTCAAGACATTTAGATTCAAACCCAGTTCCATAAACTAACCTAAAAGAGACAAAAAAATAATAAAAAATGGAAACTTTGTATTTGTTTCTGTTCTGCTTAACATCCAGTACATCATTTGTTTGTTGATGTATGTCGTTATGTTTCATGTGTGTGCAGTGATGTCAGACCTTGGATGTGCACGTTCTGTGTTTTTAAAGCCAACCAAGTGTACCGTTATGCTGATGAGCAGATGACTGAAGCTGTCTTGTCTCGCCAAATATCTCAACACATGCTGGTTAGCATCAGTCTGATTGGTTGTGTCCTTCTCTCCGTCACACTGCTGCCACTCATCCTTGATGGTCATTTATTAACAGGAATGCCAGTATCTCCTCCTGTATCTGTTCAATGCTGACGAGGAGCAAATATTTGCCTCAAACCCCACACTTCATGTAAGGCGCCTTTTTTCATGGCTTTACAAACTATTTTTCCTCACTTAAAAAAATGAAAACCTGCTGCAGTAGTTGGAATCACATTATAAACATGTTTTATTGTAATATAATAAATTGTGCTCCACACCAACAGATAGAAAGCTACTCCCGTTTTATTAGGACTCCAATGTGGCTGGGCAACATAGCTGAGAAACTGCAGAAGAAACAGTACACGACGGTTGGCGAGTTTGTGTCTGATGTAGAGCTCATTTTCACCAACTGTGCCACATTCAACCAGGTAAGAAAAAATGCTTTGAAGACTTTTATTTTCATGTATTTCAGTACAACTGAGGAACTGTGACTAATAACACCTATAAGACTGAATATGTTGTAGGGCTGCACGATATGAGAAAATCTTGTGATGMCAATATTTGTAAATATTGCAATGATGATATCAGGTGTGATAGGTCTTTTTTTCTTTCCTCCATTTCTAATTTGTACGTCCTACTCTGTYTGAACTTTAGCATTTTTGGCAAGGTCCTTTGTGTCTGTTGTGAGATTCTGTCCTACTGGCTAAATATTGCATTAGCATGAAAAATACTAGGGATGTCCCGATACCACTTTTTCACTTCCGATACGATACCGATATTACAACCTTGAGAACTGACCGATACTGATATTGACCCGTTACCATAACA